TCCCTTTCTAATACGTGGCCGTAGCACGTAGATAGACGTGTATACTCTCTTTGGGATTCTACGCCATGTTCCCATGGCCGTTCCGCATTTCGGTCGGTCGAAAGAATCCGCCAACCTTTCTACCTCGGAGCGGTCGAGTCCGTTCTCCTAGTGGGACGTCCGGCGTCGAGTGATACGGACTCGTAGAACAGGCACAGAACAGAAACGGGCATGTCAGACAGGGACAGATACAGCAGAAACGTACCTAAACGCACACAGACCGAAACTGCTACTTTTCCCATTCACCGGGGAACTTACGCGGCTGGTTACGTGCTCGCCCCGTTGTTACTCCTCTCGCGGTATCTGCTCGTGATGTCCCATCCAAGGCTCGCGATTAAATCGTTCGCTCTTCCTTCGCGATTCCTTATTGCCAGTGGCTCGCAACCGATGTCTCTCTCGCGCGCACGAAATCGGTTTCCGCGCGATTTCGCGCGGAATATAATACACCGTGTCTCCGGAATGTCATTCTAGGCTAAATTTGCGAGGTTCCTTCGAATTGCTACTTTGAGTTCTTTGCTAATTTGGATCTTTGCTACTTTGAGTTCTTTGCTAGTTTGCTTTCTGCGATACTTCGCTTTTATTGCTATTTTGATTTCTTTGCTAACTTGATTCTTTGCTACTTTGAGTTCTTTGCTAATTTGGTCCTCTGCTACTTGGAGTTACTTGCTACTTTGAGTTATTTGCTACTTTGATTTTTTGCTACTTTGAGTTCTTTAATACTTTGAGTTCTTTAATATTTTCAGTTCTTTTCTACTTTGCTTTCTTTACTACTTTGAGTTCTATAATACTTTGATTCCTTTGCTACTTTGAGCTCTTTAATACTTTGATTCCTTTGCTACTTTGAGTTCTTTAGTACTTTGATTCCTTTGCTACTTTGAGTTCTTTAATACTTTGATTTCTTTGCTATTTTGAGTTCTTTAATGTTTTCAATTCTTTTCTACTTTGCTTTCTTTACTACTTTGCTTTTTTTACTACTTTGAATTCTTTTATATTTTGATTATTTTTCTACTTTGAGTTCTTTAATACTTTGATTTCTTTGCTATTTTGAGTTCTTTAATGTTTTCAATTCTTTTCTACTTTGCTTTCTTTACTACTTTGCTTTTTTTACTACTTTGAATTCTTTTATATTTTGATTATTTTTCTACTTTGAGTTCTTTAATACTTTGATTTCTTTGCTATTTTGAGTTCTTTAATATTTTCAGTTCTTTTCTACTTTGCTTTCTTTACTACTTTGAGTTCTTTGCTATTTAGAGTTCTTTAATGCTTTCAGTTCTTTTCTACTTTGCTTTTTCTACTACTTTGAGTTCTTTGCTACTTTGATTTCTTTTCTACTTTGATTACTTTAATACTTCGATTTCTTTGCTACTTTGAGTTCTTTAATGTTTTCAGTTCTTTTCTACTTTGCTTTTTACTACTTTGATTTCTTCGCTACTTTAATTTCTCTGCTACTTTGCTTCCTTTGCTACTTTTCTTTCTTGGCTACTTTGCTTCCTTTGCTATTTTGCTTTCCTTACTGCTTTGCACTATCACTTTACTTCTTTTTGCTTTATTTCATTTCTACCCGTTTCCGGCATTTCGTTTTCGTTGCTACTTTGTTTTCTACCATTGATCTCGTTGCAACTTGCTATTGTTCCTCGCTGCACGTTTCACTGCCATGCGTGTTGTTGTCGGTTTTCTTTTGCTACTTGTTTCCTGCTACTTTGTTTCCTGCTACTTTGTTTCCATCGCTGTTTCTATTTCGATTCATCGCTACTTCGTTCATATGATACTATACAATTTCGATCCTTTGCCACTCTGTGCTTCTTGTCGTTTGGTTTGGACCCTATTCCGCGTCTCATTGCTACCTGTTTCTACTACTTTGTTTATTGCTACTTCGTTTCCCCTTCATAGGGGAAATCAAACTAATGTTTGATCTCGTTCGCCGTTATTGTTCCATTCTTATCTTTTAAATGCTACTTTGTTTCTGCCGTTATAATTTCATCGCTGTTTTGCTTCTCTCAAATGTGCAAACAGATATTTTATTAGAACGTACAATTTAGTAACGGAGCCGTTTTTACCATTTACAGCTTTTACCTTTCGGATAATTTTACTCTCCACCGTGGTAAACACTCGTCTCATAATAAAATTAGCAGGAACTTACTAGAAAAATTGGCATTTAAAAACGAATTTCATGATATCGCGGCCTCCGCCGTGTGCAGGAGTCTGTTTGATTATCATAAACCAGCAAATTCGACAGTGTGAACTGCCGATCTCGTCTGTTTGAGCAGGTTAAACGCGTCGTGCTACCGCAAAATCGCGTCGCTGCTTGTTCTATTCCTCTTTCTTTTTTCCTCTTACGTCGTATCGTTGTCGATACCGGCGGGATAGTGTTTGAAACGGACTTTCGCTGAAAAATGAATAGGTCGAGGAGGTCCGTGGCCGTCTTCGTCCTCGTGACCCAAATCCTGCGGACTCCTTTTCCTGTTGGGCCCACTCGACCACGTCGACGCACATTTATTTTTATACTAGGCTGCTCGCACCGCCGTACAATTCCGACTCGTTGACGGATTGCCAACGAAATCGGCGGCGAACACTTGTACAAGATCGAATGCGTTGTCGATGATTTCATTTATCTCGAATATTCACCACTTAAAACGGTGGTCATTATTTTATAACAATCGTTACACTTTATGCACGAACGTTTCAAGTGGCATTAGTTTCCAAAACAATTGATCGAAAACTTATTCAAAATACTGTTTTCAAAAGTTTGTTATATGATTCTGACATTTTTTAAAAATAAATTCTGCATATTCGCTGAAGAACTAGTAAATTGGCTGAGTATGATTTAAAAAAGAGAAAGTATGATTTTATAAAGTTCTACAACATTCGTTGTAGTTTGTGTACGAAATTCCGAGTGACGCCTAGTTTCCAAAAAATATTTCGACTGATTCTGAAAGTACTTCAAAATTATTTGTACACCCTAGGAGACACGATTTTCTAAAAATTTGAGAAGAAAATGTTGCACCAGCACCGACCGATCCAAACTTAAAGGAGGGGCTTCGGTGAAAGATATTTCCGGAATGCTATAAATACTTGTTTGCGTTTTATTATGGAGTTCTCGTGTCGTTTAACGCGCCGCGAGACATTTTCATGCAATTAAGAAACTGTTCGCCGATTATTTGGAGGCGAATGCGAGGCGACACGCATAAAAGAAACACGGAAAGCGCTGCGACGTGGAGTTAAACTGCGCCTCGATTAACCCGGAGCACCTGTTCCGTGGTTGCCGCGTTATTAGGAGCACGCGCACCTGCGATAAAAAAGAAGAAGGAACCTGACCACATGTTCGGCGAGCTTTTTTCTTGCTTAATGAGTCACTGCAATAATATATTGCATAACCAATTGAAACGAATCGTTGCGATAATTTATGCTGGGCGTCGCGCGAATAACTCGGAAACAGGTCTGCGAATTTATTAGGGTCGTGGGGGTAGTTTGTAAGACCGTTTACGGTATTAATTGCTTATCGTAAACTGAATTTATCGAGAAAGTCATGTTAATTGAAATACAATTGCTTTATCACTCGATCGAGAAATTTATTGCATTTCTTATTCATTTCATTATGAAATTAATGTTATCTCGTATTGTTTGGATAAAATCCGGTTTAAATCTGACGAGATTTTAAAGGCAAAGCATTTGCCGATGTCGTCAAGAAAATTGTCCCCGATTTCGATAATAAACAAGTATTAAAATTCAATGTTTGTCATAATTTGAATAGAAAGTAACTATCAAACATGGCGAGCTATTAACGACAAGCTTTCTAGTAAGCGCCACTAGATGATAGTCGACATAAGTCAAGCCCAACAGATGATACTATGACATATTATAAAGGCAAAAGCCTGAATAATATAACAGTCGGAATTTCAAAATGTTCTCAGCCTAACAACAATAGCGTGCGATAATAATTAAGGAGTTAAGCTTTCATTTCGTTCTCGGTAACTGCGTTTTGAAATTTTATTTTCCACCATTATCATGAAATTATAGTAATATTTTTCAACTTGTAATAATTCACAATTCTTGCAACTATAAGTTTCTTAATGTTGCTACCGTAAGTTAATTATACATTATTCTTGTTATTAAAATTCAATATCATGAGATTTGCATTTACAATTACATACGATATAGTTGAATTATGTATTTATATAAATAAATATAATATATATATATTATATATATAATATTATATATTATATTATATTATATACAATATATATTATATTATATGATATTATATATTATGTAATTATATAAATTCATATAAATGACTGATGCAAATATAGGGATACGATAATGACAGTGTGATCGATTAAACGATTTTACATTAATTAATTCGTTCACGCTAGTTCTTCAAGTTCCCTAGATAAAATAGATTTTTCTTCAAAGAACACCGTCACATAAGTGGGCATTGTACTGCCATCTGACAAATGAACGTTTCACTATGTAAAACTGTAGAAATTAATTTAAATTGACATCTTAGAAAAGCAATATTTAAGCACAAATCAGATAGAGAAGATCTAATATTTGACAAACATTCGCGGTCCAAAGTTAACGGTTACTATTGACTTGGAAATTACGAATTACTCTAAGGAATGTATAAATGTAGATGAATATAGGAATAATGAATTAAAATTAATAATTTTGACAACCTATTACAGACTTTATTCTTTCAGCTTTAATTTGAGCCCTCATACGTTGAAAAATTCCAACGAGAAAATTAGTTATTAACAATTTTCAATTACATGTTCCAATATTAAATTTTGCAGCAGATGAGTCGTGCCGCGTCTCCTATAAGAAGTAATGCAAAATTCGGCACGAATTTTCTGCTACTTTCAAACAACCGAATAGCGCCAATCTATCCAGTGGCAAAACGCTCAAACTGTTAGCCAAATTGCCGACAGTCGATTTTGGCTAACAGTTTGCACGTTTTGTCACTGCATGTATCGGCGCTATTCGGATGTTTAGGAGCAGCAAAAGAGTATTGTTTCTTATTCCGATAAAAACTGTGTAATTAAGTCATTAAATGAACAGTCGATTATACAGTAACATTGTTAGTTTATAAATAAATGATTAACTGATGTAAATAGATAGTTAACTAACAATGAACAATTTGGTTAGGTTATGTTCGATTAGAAGACCCTTAGGTTTCCGTCGTTTGCACACGATAAAGTATACACTGGATGCTGAAAATAGACAGTTGTATGAAGATATCTTTCCATATATTTATGAGTAAGTTAATCCGTAGTTTTCGTTAAAGTTCTTGAGGTTCATTCGTATGAAATTGTTGAATATTATCATTTTGTTTCATTATTCGACATTTTTCATTCAGAAGATACTGTTCCTGTTTATCGTTTATATACGAAATATATATACTTTGACATACTTTTTAGAGACAAAATAAAGAAATTATGGAGGAAACCACCACAATGTGTGTATGCAGGATTCGATCCAACTGCAGAAAGTCTGCATATAGGAAATTTATTGGTTCTGATGAATCTTTTACATTGGCAACGCTCTGGCCATCAAGTGATAGCGCTATTAGGAGGTGCAACTGGTTTAATAGGTGACCCAAGCTTCAGAACTTCAGAGCGTGTTGAAATAGAGGATGTCGTGATTCATGAGAACATACTATCTATTCGACAAGACATATTAAACATATTTCATAATCATGAAAAATATTTTTGTGAGAATCTGCGTATAAAGTTGCTTCCTGTAAAAATATTAAATAACATGGAGTGGTATAGTGACAGAAATATAATCTCATTTATTAGAGAAATTGGCAAATACTTTAGAATGGGCACATTGCTAGGTCGTAGTTCTGTACAGTCTAGATTGCAATCAGAGGCTGGAATGAGCTTTACAGAGTTCAGCTACCCTATATTCCAAGGATATGATTGGCTGCATTTATACCGTACATATAAATGCAAATTCCAAATTGGAGGTCAAGATCAGATGGGTAATATAATGTCTGGTTATGATCTAGTAACTAAATATCTCCATGAGGAAGTCTATGGATTGACATTACCGCTTATCACGGCTGAAGGTGGAAAAAAATTTGGAAAGTCTACAGGCAATGCAGTTTTCCTTTCATCTAAAAGATCCTCTAGTTTTCAACTGTATCAGTTTTTTATTAGAACAGAGGATGCAGATGTAGACAAATTTCTTCGCTTCTTCACGTTTTTGCCTTTGAAACGTATACGAGAGATTGTTGAAGATCACTTCAAACGGCCAGAGCTTAGGGTAGCACAGAAAGTTCTTGCAGAACAAGTTACATTATTAGTTCATGGAAGTAAGTACATAAGAATAGTAATATAATTCAATTACCAAAAAGCCGTATGAATTAAACTTCTGTTAAAAACTACTTGCAGAGGAAGGATTGGCAGCAGCAAAAAGAACATCCGCCATTCTGTATGAAACCTCAATTGACAATCTGGCAAAAGTAAGCGCAGATGACTTGGCACAGATGCTAGAAGGAGCTAAAGTAGTAGAGATGTTTTCCGAACGTAGTCTTAATGTCTATGAGTTGGCAATGAAGGCAAAATGTTTCGAAAAAGATCACGATGCAAAAAGAATTATTGCTGCTGGAGGTTTTTACATTAACTATCAAAGAATCACAAATAAAGATGAAATCCTCGTACCAGGAATACATATATTGCAAAACAATGTTACATTGATCAGAGTAGGGAAAAAATCTTACCATATCGTACGATGGTTGTAAAGAAAGTTGAAATTTTGAATAATTTATAAGAAGTGTTTAGTATATGAAATATACAAATCCCTGAATTATAAAATACAAAATATTTACGGAAATATATAATTATAGATTTATTATCTAGAACTTAAACAGTACAAAAATAATCTTTTTACAGTGTTGTTAAATTAATGTATCTTCTGATCGAATATATTCACCTATGTCAGCTTGATGAAAACATACTGTTGCCATTGGATCTGCATACTTGCAATCCATTGTACTTTTTGCTGCTACACCAAAACCCTATGAAAGATAAAATTTGTTTAATTCGGAGCAATAAAAAATGATATAATGAAGTAACATTATTAGGATACTACGATAATTATCTTACCAATGGAACATCATTTGTTGAAAATATAACTACTCCTTGATATTGAGGTGTGTTTTCTGTTATCCTACTTAAACCAGACTTAGAAATGTGATGTCCATATAAAAACTGCTGTTCAGCAGACGATTTAAGCCATATTTTATGCTAAAAATATACTCATTAATTTATAGCAGGATTCGTGATGTTGCAACAGAGTAATCCACTTACTTGTGCATATGGAGCCAAATGATACAATGCAGTTACATGCAACCTAAATTTTCCTGATTTCGTAAATTTTCCAAAACAGGTGCCAAAACTTATTAATCGATCAGGACTAACCATGCTTGCCAATGGAAGGATTTTTTCAGAAACATAGTACACTCTTCCTTTCCTTTCCCGAAAGCAGTAAATACCATCTGGTCGATCAATTAATACCTTTACGTTGTCTCCAATACTGAAAAATAATTTTTATATGAGAAATTACAGATGTACAAAAATTTGGATTTTCGATTTTATTTCTGTATTCGATCGTCCCATTAATCGAATTTAAATTTCTATTAGATTATAATGTATGAATCTACTCACTACTTTGTTAATTTTTCTAAAACTTGTTTTGTTTTCTCTTCAGTTAGACGTTTCATTTTTCTATTGCCTTTTCACTGCCTACACAGACACGTTTATACACATAAGATACACACAATATTGAGAAAAAATGTCACTCGAAAAATTGAATTTACATAAAATATTACGTTCTAAGTAATTTCTATTCAACTTTAGTTAACACGATACTATACTTTCAAATTATTGTACAATAACCTATTGTACGATAAGTTACGGGAGGTTAAGGTGACAAACATGCGTTTTTGTGTATAATATCATGTTGATACGATTAATAGAGTGAAGTGTTAATCTAGTTTGTAGAAGTGTAATCTGTTTTACCGGTTATCACCTATAAGTTTCCGAATGTACCTAGCTAAAGAGAAGAACTAGATCTAGAGTTATTATATTTAACGAAAAACAATACACTTAATAAAAACTTGATTTCACTGTTAAAAATGAAGATACAAAATACTACAAAAGTTTGAATTTATAATTTACCTCTTTTTAATTTTAGTAACTCTAGTAATTTTACTACTTCCTAGTGATTTTTTAGTAATAAATTTATTTTGAATTATCTACTCAAGTTTTATCTGCAAAAGTATTTCAAAATCATTTAGCAACAACAATGTGGCACCAATCGGTGCTGCCATAATTTCAGTCAACCGATTTTATCATATAGAAAACAAAATTAAACAAACATCGGAAAGTACACTTAGTCAACAATTGATATACATATAGTGTAAATAAAAAGAAATTCGTGTTAGTAAATCGACATTGTTAAAAAATCGATAAAGCATTGATATTTTCAAGTTTATTTATCGAGCATCGATATTTAATATAATGACATATTCCACTGTCGATACGCAGTTAATGATATCGTCAACTAAATGAGTCTCTAAATAAATAATTATGTAATAATAAATAAAGTATTTTCTTTTATAATTGTGTGTTCATTATTTTATAATTATATTATTTATTAATTTTTTTAGGGTGCATAATTTTCATTTATATTTAATTCATATATAAATCTTAATTTAATATGACACGCATCGATATTAATAATATCTATATTGGACATTAATATATTATCGATACTAAATATCGATACACTTTGGACATATCGCTATCGTATCGCTACCTGACTCTCTATGCTTTTACGTGTTCCTAGGCGCGAGTTTAGCAGTGGCTGGTGTGGGGGCGTTGTTGGACCGCACCTGCGTGCCATCTAACTAAAAATGGCGCCCTGCGGTGTTCTACCATTTGCATTTTGCTGGGCCGCCGGCGTGCGTGAAAGCTATTACCACTGAGAGTCAGCCTTGTTCCATCGTGTTCAACGAATATGCCTACTTAAAGCTGGCAGCCGCGACTGCCCGCTTGTTAGTGCGAGTCTGTGTCTTTCCGTGTGCACAAACCAAGTAAAACAACGGTCCTCTGTGATCCACCTGGTGTCTTCTTTTCCCCGATCGACTCGTTCTGCAACCAGCAGTTTCACGGCCCACTTTGCTGGTACGTATTCACGATTTGAATACCCTCACGCAGCATCGCCGCCTCTCCGCCGAACGTTTCACACATTCGAGTGAAATTTCATTCATTCCTCCCGCTGTTAACTTGCCGACGACATTTTTCCGGGCCGCGATTTAACAGTCTCTCAACTTTCTATCTTGTTCTCACGCGTCGGCACGAGGGATGCTCGCGAGTTTTGCTCTCGCTCGTGCAGAAACCCGCCGCGAAAACAATTCTGTTTATTACCCGCGTCGATGATATTCGGCACGTCGTACGTCCGCTTCGTGCCACGACCGATGACATATTAACTTTCACGTTTAATATTTTCTCACCGTAGGGCCGAATCACTTTCTTCCCCTTAACCGTACACCGTCGCTCGCGATCAGGCGGTTGCCAGCTTACCTAGCGCTAATTCGAACCACGAGAGACCACGGGTGACTTCCGATCACGCCACCGGAACCGTGCCCTTAACCATTAGCAACTGATTTCTTTTTGCACCGCTCGCTTTGATCGACATCTTTCATCGTTCGCGCACCGTGTTGAAGACGCGAGGCTCGCGTACACGGCTGATCAAACGTGTACCGAAACGTTTGTATGCGTTTGTCGTTCGGTATCCGACCAACGAACGAATACAATCGCGTGAATGAAACTTTTCAAAAACCGATTAACCGCTCCTCTTATCGTACTACACGATAGAACACGTTGACTCGATATGTAGCGTGTAGCGTTCACGTGGACGGCAATCTGCAACCGTGAACAATTTTCACGCGCAAGTCATCGTTTCTTATATCTAATTTCGCTGTAAATTGGAGAATGCGAATTACACGCTGAATTACAATCCTGATCGCGTTCGTTCGTTTCACTCGCTGCGGCTAACAGATTCCGCAACAATGTTGACGACGCGTGCGAAAATATTTCACGGTTCGATCGTGTCCTTCCTTTGTTGTCGCATTCAAATGTCGCACGTTGCAATGATTTTTCTGTTAGAATTCGGTAGCCGCCAACGAATTCATTCAAACGCACGCGAACAAAACGCGATCGCACGTCACGATTCATATTTTATCTGACTCGTTTCTTTATCTTTACCTTTAGTACTTTTTTTATTTTTATCGGTGTTACACAGTATTGTGCCCTCTACGATTCTGTTAAAATATCGGGAACACACGTGCGTAGAGATAAACTGGCGAAATACACGCGCGCCGGTCACTATCGTACAAAGTTTGGCAATAAATCGTCGGATTTCTGAGTGACACTGTGTTTGTGTATACCACGCTTAGTGGTAGTCCGAGTCCACGAGTAGCGTATTCGAAATTCCCGCGGATCTGAGAAACCTCGTTCTGGGTACCATAATTCTTAAATTATTCGTTGCTGAAATTTAAACATTTTTGGTAGGAAATTCGTCGATGTATGTATAGAGTTTTTATTATTGTATCCGATAGCTTGAAGTATAACGAAATATTTCGTGCGATATATATTATATAACAAATATTAAATATATATAATATATAAATATTAAATATGTAAAATATACATAATATATATTATATAATATATTAGTGATAACGATAGATCACCACGAAGCTAAACGGCGGTTGTTTACGCATATTTGATATTGTAGTTTATTTGTGGTAGATATCGTCAGAGATATGTTTCACTGAATTTCGTAAGCTAACAGACTGATAGAATTCGCAATTCGTTTTGTAATTCCGCGAACTTGAATCACTCGCGCGACCGACCCGTTAAGCACGCCGGAAGCAATGCGATCAATCTGATCGTCATTTTTTTCCGAACTATGTTTTTTTCCATGATATCGTCGTCGACAGGAAAAACAAGAAAGGCAAAACACTCGCGTCGAAATATTTGACAAGGAGAAACAGTTGTTCGACCGAATTGCTATAGACTTCCTAAACGGAATTATCTAAAATAAACAGATTTAGCGACGGTCAGGCTGCCGTCGACGGTGTCGTGTTACATGGCTGAATCCCTACGCGTAAAAAAACTTGCAGGAGTTTCGTTTTTTTAGGCGTCGAGCCATTAGAAGGGTATACGATGCAGAGTCTAATTAATTTTTTCGGTGTTTTCGAGGCAACGTTAATTTGCACAAAGCTCTGTATTGTTTCATTGCAACGTGTAGCATTGCCTGTTGTATTGCACTCGTCTGTTAAATCTTGAGAACATCGACGGACCAAATAGTTTCGTGTTCATGTTTCCAGACGAAAGTCATGTCAAAGTCAAGCCGTTGTACGCGTCTTCGAATGTATTTGAACGTGAGTTACGCGCGCGATAAAAACAAAACAAAAACATGTACAGTTGTGTGCCGAATCAACGTCAATGATCTTGGAATTTCCGAATCGAATGACTTTGAGAAAAGAACTATCGACACCGGTCAAATTCCGTACAAGAAACTGTTTTGTGACGTCCCCCCCCCCCCCGCCCTCCTCCTATTGGAGGAGATATTTAAAATTATTTAATTATATTAGAAATTCTAATTTGAAAGCTTGCCTCTCATCGTTCTGCGATCGTGAACCTGTCGTCCACGTATCAGCACGTGCTCTGATATAATCCTTATTTGTTATGATACAACAACTTGTTGTGGCCGTCGCCGTTCGAATTTCGCGGACTTCTTCGTGCGTCTTTCGCTACGAATCTTCTCGAGATTCCTTTCTTGTTGATTCGACGAGAACCGATTTGAATATTTCGTTTGGACCTTGCTCGACGTAGCCGGGGTTCATCGAGTCGAGATGTTTTTCGTTCCACGATCTTCGCGGTGTTTGAACTATTACACACGATTCGAACCGGTTCCGGTCACATGACGCTCAACACCTCGAAGAAGTTACTCATCAAACATAATTTGAATATCGTTTAGTCGAAAATACGTAGCGCCTTTTCCATCGAAATATCTTCTCGACACAACGTTTGAAATTATTTCGAAACCGAACGCGTGGTTTCGATCTTCGGACCCCGGAATTTTGTTGATTCTACGGAAAATTCTCTCTAATCGACGCTCAGCTTGGAAATCGAAATAAAAATGGTCGATTTAGGAAGAGGGGGCACGATTATTCCAGCCTCGCGACTCATTTTCACGGTTGTCGATAATCGGTAACTACGAAAACGAATATAATCGTGTCTCCCAAATTGTCCATTTTTGTGGTTTTATTATTATTCGCGACACTATTTTACCACAAATAACATATATTTCGAGTTTGAAACGCGGCGTGTTTCGCAACGGAGACAATCAACGAGACCTCTGTTTTTCGAGAAATAAAAACGCACGATTTTCGAGCACGCGGCGAATAACGATATTTTTGTTTCCGTTCGCATTTCTTGGAATCTTTACGGTCGGATTACACAATGTCCGCCCAATTTGTGGAACTCGTGCACGAGAGCGCATCGGTCATCCGTCCATTTGGAGGTGTTTCTATAAAGGAAAATAGTTGCAGTGATTGGGGAAAATTGCCAGTCAGCAGCAGCCGGTCCTAATAACGAACGACTCTGGCTACTTTACCGAGGACACGTAATACTCTAACGAGATTGCCCATCGTTTCCACGAAACAATGACGATCACCCCATCTCTATTAGCAGGTCGACTGCCGCGTCGCATGTACATACACACGTGTACGCCGATGACGGAGCTATCTGTGCAAATTTAAAAATGAATTCTTAGGTCGAGCCACTGTATCGAACACCCTGGCAGGCAGGTTGATTAAGTGACATATTGTCCGCGTTAAACTGTCGGCGATAAGGAAGAATGTTTAGACAACAGGGAGACACATTTGCTAATAATGGTTGACCTCTCTTTTGGAGTTAGTAGACATGAAAGTTATTCGATCGGGTGCACTTTGTCACTTCGATGCAGTAGAAGAACATTAGGAGTTTTATAATGTAATATAGTATATAACATAACATAACATAACAATAATATAATAATATAATATAATATAATAATACTTGGAATTAGTAGATATGAAAGTCATTACTCGATCGAGTGCGGTAGAAGAACATTAGGAGTTTTATAATGTAATATAATATAATATAACATAACAATAATATAATAATATAATATAATAATACTTGGAATATTAGTAGATATGAAAGTTATTACTCGATCGAGTGCAGTAGAAGAACATTAGGAGTTTTATAATGTAATATAATATAACATAACACATAACAATAATATAATAATATAATATAATATAATATAATAATACTTGGAATATTAGTAGATATGAAAGTTATTACTCGATCGAGTGCAGTAGAAGAACATTAGGAGTTTTATAATGTAATATAATATAACATAACATAATAATATAATAATACTTTTATATATATATATATAATATTTTTATATAATATAATAATACTTTTACATAATACTTTGATAATACTTTTATTTGTCAGTGGGATGAACCCATAGTTACAATGAGTACAAACGAAATACGAAAAGAAAGAAAAAAAGAAAAAAATAGGATATTAATACACTGCGCGCGCGCGCGCGGGAGAGGTATTAATACCTTTTTAAAAAAATTTAATTTTTTAAATTTCGGTATATGTACATAGATATTTGAAAGAATCCCACAGTGTGTGAAATCCTAAAACTCCACGTTATTATGCCTGTCATCAAGATCTTATTGTCGGTTTTGCGAATATTATACGTTTCTTTAACAAAACAAAACTAAATTTTTTACAAAGTTGCCGATACACTCGCGCACATATTGCGTTAAAAAGAACTGTAAGATTAGGTCTGGATCAGGTGTCGCGGCATGGTCGCGTACGAGGAGTACCGACATAAAAGTTACACAACATCTTCGCATGTATAATTTCGTAGAATTATTTTTTGTGGGAAATAAGTCGTAAGTTTCACGACGTAAGTTATTTGGGAAAACGAATGAAACGCGTCCAAAGGACAAGGTTATAATATTATATAATAGTATTAGTCTATTATATAATAGTCGTCGACTATTAATTAGAAAACTGAACGCCGATCGCACAATTTTCTCTTGCTCGCAGGTGGATCGTAAAATTTTACATGGTCAATTAGTGCAACTGATTAAATGACATCGAATGTGTGTGAGTGTGTGTGTATGTATGCGAGCGAGCGCGTGTTTGTGTGCGTTGAGGAAGACATCCGATACGTACAAAGTCCGTTCTAACTGTTTTGAGAGTCGCGCGGCACTCTTCGCGCGTAATCTAATGCATAAACGATACTTCGATAAGCGATAAAACGAACTTCCGCGAGTGGAAACGCTCGGCCCGAGTCTGTTTGCCTAGCTTGGGTGGTTTTATGTAAACAAATGTCGGCTGATCGAAATTGTTTCGTTTTTTTCCTCCGTGCGCGGTCACTTATCGGACCCGATCGACCAAGGGCGAGACCGATTCGTCCAGGTCATACGATTTTTTTCTTGTCGGGAATGGCGTGATGCCACCGAGATTCTGGTACGTGACATGTGCATACGACCTCTGGAAATTACGCAATATGTTCGGCCGCGATTTTTCTCGGACACGCGACGGAGAAACTTGGGGGGGCTCAACGGACCGAAAACATTGTGAT